CCTCACTTGTTCAGGCCTTGACTCTTACCTTCCTGGCGGAATGGGGTGATCGTTCGCAGATCGCCACGATTGCCCTCGCTGCCGCCAAAGACCCTTACGGTGGTACGTGCTCTCCCTCCCTCCGTCCCTCCTTCCTTCCTTCCCTCCTTCCTTCCTTCCTCCCTCCCGCCTCCACCCCATGCTCGTGAAACGCTTGGAACAATTTCTCCAACCGACCTCCGTCTGCCCTGCCCTCCTACCCTCCCTCCCTCCCTCCCTCCCTCCCTCCTTCCTCAGTGACGGCGGGCGGTGTCCTCGGGCACTCCCTCTGTACGGGTCTGGCCGTGCTGGGGGGGAGGATACTGGCGGCTCGAATCAGTGAGAAAACAGTGGCATCCACGGTAGGTACATCGTCTTGGTTCAACCCTCTTTGCCGCGGGGTCTGGCCCGCTCGGCCGCCAGCTTGAGTGCAATCTCGTTCTAACCTCCTGCCCCCCCCCTTGGGCCTTCCCACCCTTCCTTCTGGCAGGGCGGAGTCCTCTTCCTCGTGTTCTGCGCGCATTCCCTGATCGTCGGGCCCTGAGCGAGCGAGGGAGGGAGGGAGGAAGGGAGGGAGGGCTGCGATTGGTCCCGTGGGCGTCCGGCGTGGGATGGGTTTGTATTTAATCTTTGAAAATGAATTGCATGGGCGGCCGGAGGAATGCGGCCAGGATATCAAAGGACGCGAGCGGACGCCTGGGAGAGGACGAGGAAGGGAGGGAGGTAGGGAGGGAGGAAGGGACAGAGGGGGAGGTGAAAGGGGAACAAGGCAGTTCCTGGGCAGCGTAAGGAAATTGTCGCGCTGGGCGGGAGAAGTTTTAAATTAGTAGCTTGCAATCGACAGTTGTAGAGGTCGCGTAGGGCTATGATATGGGCCGCTCGAAAGCAAATTACGGCCCAAGAGGCAGGAGCTCAGAAACACAGTCAGAAGCTCATGTTCTTTTGGACTCTTCCTGAAACTTCCCGCCCCCCCGCCTATATATATATGTATATATATATATATATCTTCCTGCCCTATTTCCCTTCCTCCATCCCTCCTTCGTCCCCCTCGCCCATCCCAGCACGTTTGAAACAAAAGCCGCTCCCACAAAATCCTTCCCTCCCTCCCTCCCTCCTTCCCTCCCTCCGTCCCTCCCTTCTACACGTCCGAGCCGTAGTCGTACTTGATCGAGTGACTCTCCAAGGAAATCGTCCCCCCCCTGTAGCTCCCCCGCTTCTTCTTCGTCTTCTCGTGCCGGAAATCCTTCCCTCGGACCGTCATCAGCTTCTCGCTTGCCTTGGCCCCGTACCCGCCGCTCCCGAAGGTCCCGGCGTCTGCGGGAGGCAAGGAGAGGAGAACGAGGGAGGGCGACAGGATATAGACAGGAAAGGACGACGCATCAGTCCCATGCCTTCAAGTACAAGCTCTCCTCCTTCCCTCCCTACCTTCCTCCCTCCCTCCCTCCCTCCCGCCTGCCCTCACATGAATTGTCCTTGAGTCGATCGTCCTTGATCTGCTGCCCCCAGTACTCGTCGTCCACGCGCCGAAACGCCTCCCCGGATACCCGGCGCCCTTCTTTCCCGCCCTTTTTGGGTGTTAAGGTGCTTGGACTTGCGCCCGTCCCCGCCTTCATTTTTTCCTCCTGCGCGGTTTGCCAGGCGAGGGCGGCCTCCACCGACTTGCGCCGTCTCTCCGTTTCTGCCGCTTCCTTCCGGGCAGCGACCGCGTCCTCGTCCTCGCTCTCGCTGAAGGGAAGGGAGTGGGAGGAGGGGAAGGGATGAAAGAGGGAGGGAGGGAAGGAGGGAAAGAAAGAGGCAAGACGGGGGGGAGAAAATGTTGCTGACCTTTCGCTGCTGCTGTCACTGTCGTCGCTGCTCTCACTGTCACTGTTGCTGTCGCTACTGTTGTCGCTGTCGCTGCTTTTCGGGTGCTTTCCATTTAAATGCGTCTCAGTACCCTCCACTTTCCTCCTTTTGCGGGGGGGGGAATTCTTTCTCTTCCTTTCCTCCTCCTCTTCCTTCCCCTCCTCCTCCTCCTCCTCGTTACTGGAGGAGTCAGAGGAGGAGGAGGAAGACATGTCCGCCGCTTTTCGCTTGTGGGAGGGCAATGATTTCTTGGTTGCTGGAGCAGCTGCCTTCTCCTCCTCCTCGCTCGCACTCTCACTCTCGCTCGACGACTCTCCTGAAGAGGAGGAGGAGGAGGAGGAGGAGGAGGCCTCAGTTTTGGAAGGAAGAGGTTTAGAAGCGGGGCGAAGACGGGTAGAGTGCGCGGTGTTTGAAAGCTTCTTCGTCGGAATGGTTGTCTCAGCTTCCTCTTCTTCCTCCTCCTCGCTTGAGGAAGACGAGGAAGAAGAGGCGCCCTTCGCGGTGCCGTTCATCTGGGATGGAGTGTTTTGCTTCTCAGACAGCTCTTTATGGCTCTTTCGGTCCTCTTCGTTTTCACTTTCGGAGGACGAAGACGAGGAGGAGGAGGAGGACGAAGAGGAGGAGGACGAGGAGGAGGCGGCAGCTGGAGTCGTCAACGCCGCGGCAGCCTGTCTCTTCTTCAGGGCCGGCGTGATAGGCCCTTTTACGTCCCTTTTCCTAGCTTCACCCTTCTCCTCACTTTCACTGCTGCTGCTGCTGTCACTATCATCGTCCGACGACGACGATGGCGTTTCCGGCCGCGGGACAACCCCCACGGCCTTCACGTACAGGTCCAGTAAATCACGCGACCCTGTCGACAACGACAACGCCCCTTTTCCCTTCCCCTCCTTGATCAAAGTAGCGGCCGTCTTTACAAACCCCTTGGACTGAGGCGGGGGGGGGAGTTGGGTATATCATGGGGAGGAAAGAGGGGGCCGTGAGAGGAAACTAGCGGCATCCACCCTTTGAATCGTCGCCCACATCGTGTGCAGGCCTGGTTTTCACACGTGTGCTCGTTCCTGAAGGCTTTCACGTACCTTCAAAAAAGCCAGGACGTCACCCAGCAGCTGCAACTCCGGTATTTTCATGCTCTTAGTCCTTCGTTGGTCACAAGATACTGCTTGCCCAATGCGACTGAAAGCGTGTCCTAGAAGGGCGGCAACGAGTAAAAACACCCATGAAATCCATGCCAACGCGACCACACAATCTATTTTATGCTATTCAGTGTAACATGGTACGCGTCGAATCATCCTGGGTTGTGCAATTGCCTCTTTTTTGGTGTGAGTGGAGGGAGGGGACAGAACGACAGCTGACAGCTGATCACAAGCGAGTGGCCCAGAACCCCGCGACTCGCACAAGCGAATTAATACGATCCCGAGAAGCCCCAAAAAAGGTGCGGACACCGCCTTTAGTGCCCTTTCCTGTGAGAAATGTATGGCATCATAGTCACCTCTGGCAAGCATACCTTTGTTTCATGACTTTCGTGTATCTTGTTGTCAGAGGGTGGAGGTGAGATCTTTACCTACAGGACAGGAACGTGCTTTTTATTGAGCGTACACGAAGACGTGGTCTCCTGCGTGATATGTGTGTTCTCTGTCCATACATATGTCAAAATACTTTCTATATGATTCCAAAGCTCAGTACTCATTGCTCTCTTTTGCTGGCCGTAACCTATTTCTTTATCTTTGACACTCAACTTTCAGGAACTTAAAGAGGTAATGGCGGTCAGTGCGGAGATTCTTTCAACCACTATTTACGCCCTCTTGTACTCCATCATCGGTTTTTGGGTGATCATGATCTGGTTTGCATTATTTGAATCCTTACAGGCCCCACCAAATGACCCATCCGCAGACGTTTTGGTCAAGATAACGCTGTCCATACTCAGCTTTGGCGTCCCGTGCGTGGTATACACTTTACTGCACAAAACGCCACCGCCTCCGCGGTCTTCGCGACCAGAAGATAAGCTGCACGTTATGCAAATCATAAGGATTAGTATCGACCAGTGTCGCAGATGGGCTCCTGTATTGAGTAAAAGCATCCGTGTGTGTGCTGGTCTGGGAGCAGTAACCTTCGTCGGTGCGTTCACTCATGAAGTTTTTTTTAAATTGGAAAATGGGGAAGATGCGGTAGAGCATGTTGTGACATGGTTTGTGACAGGACTTTTCCAAATGGCTGCTTGTCATTTTGCACAACACGTACTGAAATGGGCGTTTTGGAGGTGAGGAGTGCCAGAGGAAAGAGAAGTGCTCACACTACTGTTAGAACGTGCGACAGCAATCGGTAGATAATTACAGTGTAGAATCGTGCAAAATAATGGGGTGTGGACGTTGGACTTGACCAGCAAAAAAAAGCAGCTTGTTAGAAATGTAATTTGGTTTTATAACCGATGCACAGTAGTCCTCATCTTTTACAGCATATACCAACGGCTTACTTTTCGCTTCGCATGATACTGCAAACTATCACTGTACATGTCCAATGACATTCTTCCCCAATGTGACCGCTTGCCGTCCTGAATATATATACATAAACATAGTATATCCCCCCATTGAACTACCAAAAAGGGCACCAGCCCATGAACAAGCGACAGAGATTCTCCACGGAGGTCGCCTCCTTGATCAGTCGGTCCACTTGCTCCTCGACCGACAAGTGCACCCGGGCCACACCCACCATAGAGGAGGACAGAGAGGCCGACGACGCCAGATCCTCCTCCTTCCCCAGTCCCTCCTCTCCGCCGCGGGTCTCCGGAGGCATAGACTCCAGCCCGTTCCCAGATAAATGCAAGTAAGAAAGTGACGGATAGTCCCTCCCCAGGAGCTTCTGCTGAATACGTTCCATGATGGCCAGTGCCCGCTGATTGAGCTCAATCTCCTCTGTGGGCGTTTGCCCGTCCGTGGGTGAGAACGCGGCGTCCGAAGAGGAGGCTGGCGCGCTCAAGATTCCTGCTTCCTTGTGGAAACAAAGGGGAGAAGGG